GAGGCGGTGCGTGGACAGGAGTCTTGGGAGATGGGGATCCAGGGAGAGGACTGAGTGTTCAAATATATGGGCTCATGGGAAATGAAAAATAAAAACAAATAAGATACATATTTGAGGACCATGTCTGTGTATGAAGACAATTTCCTATGCATCTTTCCTACAGTCAAAGAGAAAGAAGCTAAAAGCAGTTGTTCAGTGATTCAACGTAGTAATGAGGACATGTGCGCATCTCAGATATTTGTGGGCAGCCCCTGTGATTAATTTCTGCCAAAGCAACCTTCCAGGATTAATTGCTTCAACTGTGTTTTTTATATTATTTGTGTGTGTGTGTGTATGTGTGTGTGTGTGTGTATATCTCCCACTCACTGCCACCACCTCTTCTGCTATTAAGCCATATATATGTGTGTGTGTATATATAAATATATATATATACACACACATATATATGACTTAATAGTGAAAATGGAATAGACTGGAGGATTTATTTATAATTTAATAATTAGAGGAAGACTCATGTTAGTGAGGAGCAAGGTCACTCTGCAAAGGCAAAGAGTCCCCATGTGACATATTTCATCTCTTCAAAAATGGTGCCCTTTTATTGCTCAGAATTGTGACCTAGCGAAGATTGTGTTGGTGGTTTTATTTTTGGAGTATCAATTAGTCAATCAATCAGTTCGTAGTTATCGAGCATCTGCCCGGCACGTAGGGCACGCTCATCAAATTTGCAAATGACACAGATCAGGGTGGATGGTAAATACTCAGATGACAGACAGAGCGTTCAAAAAGATTTTGACAGCCCAGCGCGATGGGCTGGATGGAACAGGATGAACTATAAGGTGGATAAATATGAAGCCCTGTCCTTGGCTCCAGAAAACTAGCTGCCGACTGACAGGGGACAGGGCGGGGCGGCCGTGCCTCAGCAGTGAAGTGAGGGAAAAAGACAGTATTTTAGCCAATCGTCAGCTCTACCTAATGTATCCCTTTGGGCTGAATGATGTCATTGCCAAAAATCTCGCAAGCCATTTTGAATTAGATTAAGGCGATAATCCTGTTTTAATTTGGCAAGTCAGACCACACGTAGAGATTTGAGTATTTCTGGAGCCACATTTTAAGAGGAGAGAGACCCCAAACCATGCCGTATTGAGAACATTGCAGAAACTAAACACATATGTCCCGAAGACACGGGAGAAGGACATCTTTCTTTGCACCTGCACAGACTCTGTCATGGAAAAGGCATACGGATTGTTGGGTGAGATCCAAGTGGTTAGAGCCAGGGCTTATGCGTTGAAGTTACAAGGTGGCATCTTTCCGTTCATCTAGCACAGTAAGAGCTGTTCAAGGTGAAAGGGCTCCCCAAACCTGCAGAAGCAGAATACTGGAGCGATGGGACCTCCGGGTCCTCATTTTGGGGTAACAGCACTGCAGAGGGGCAGTCTGAGAAGCCTTACTCTGCTGTTTGATACAAACGGGCTCCTTGAGAGAAAGGATCATGATTTCATTCTCTTGGCCTAACTCATAGGGCCAATGTAGGTACAGGGTGGCCTCATTGAATTAAATGTAAATTGGGAGGATACAGTTGAGAGGAAAACTATAAATGATTTCTCAGGCGAGGAAGTCAGAGCAGGTACTCTGCCAGGGTTTTCCCCGCCCATCAGCAGTTCCTCTTGGTGCTGGAGGCCAGCAGGCATAGAAGAGCAACAGAGATTTGACCTTGCGGTGGCACCGATGATGTGCACAGTGACTGTAATCCAGGTGGACTCGGTTGCATTTTTTTTTCTCTTTGTAGTTTCTCAGATATCTACTGTATGACTTTCTGGAATTGTGAATTACACTCACATAAGAATGGCCAGGAATTGTACTTAAAAAAATCTAATACATTCTTGTGCTCAAGTAAATGTGTACATTCTATCACAGGGATACAAACTGGACCGACAAGGTTAAACTAAACTGTGAAACCCCGAGAGAATGAAGGCGTGAGAATGACCTGCTCCCCTGTATCTTTATTTCCAGCGTGTTTTTGGATCTTATGAAAGGTCTAAGGCTTTTCTGCAGCGGCTACTGATTCTACCACTTTGTTCCTTCCAGCCACACCAAGGAACATGGGTGAACTCCCCTAATTCTCACAGGGGCGGAGAATGAGATAGGTGGGAAAGGGCTTTCGCAAAGGGCTTCCTGTTCACAAATCAGGGATTCTATGGCATAGATTTCTATTCCCCTAAATAACTGGCAAGGGGGTCATCGGAATGAGCTATTGCAAAAAGCCACCTTCGCCTTCTCGGTTCTCCTGGGATGGGGCCCCGAACCAGAATTGCAAAGTCGTTCAGAGAATCTTGGCTTGTAACACACGGCACGGAGCACCAAAGAAGAGGTCATCCTACTTACGGCAAGGCGCTCGGTAGGGGAAGGAACGGCGGCCCATAGTGTCTTGGGATCATCCTTAATCATTTCTTAAGCACCAGGGAAGTGAAAACCTCCTCCTGGAATTCACTGCGTGTGACACCGAATCCTTCCACTAAGCAAATATGTGATGAGTTGATAAAAAAGAAAAGAAAAAAAAGGAAGAAGAAGGTCCTGAACTCTTGACTGCAGATATAATACAGTGAACACAGAAAATCAAAAGCATGCTTTCTATCTGCCTCCAAATAAAGGTGCACTTAAACTTGTAAAAGACAACATTTCTATTTGAATGATATGACAGAACCGTCACAGGAGTGTTACCTGCCATAAAGCAAGCCGGAGAATTATTGCCTTTATTAGACCAGTGACACTGAGCTTTCGCCATACATTTCTAACTTCTGTCCCTCTACAGAGACAATTTTCTTTTCTTAAATAAACTGTCATGCTAGTGTTAATATATGGCCGGCGCGCTCATGCTCTGAGAATACTGCTGATATAAAACATGTATATGTTAGATTGGTAATAGTATCTTTAGTGTAGCTGACTAGAACAAATGGGTTTCCCTCATGGCTGTGCTAATGTGATAAAGGAAAATTGGCTGTTCATCAGCTTTTGGCTGGGCAGAGACAGTGGAGAGGGAACCACATTCTTTTTTATGCATTAATACCATCGAGAACTTTCCACGAGTGATATTTCATGTGCCCCGCGTGTTGCTCAAAGATGTTGTAAAACATGAGATAATGCTACAAATAACAAAGTAGAAAAGCCGGTATCTTTTATAATGATAACAGTCAAACACCAAATGACAGTAACAGGCTGTAAAAAATGGGATGCAAAAAAATTAAATAAATAAAAAGACAGTCTTTCTCCCTCAGCGAAGAGGTATACATCCAGACCCACAGGAGTTGGCGTGTGAGTGTGTCTAGGTCTTTATGTTAAAGCTTGTGTTACAATGAAGTAAAAGGCAACATGGGGAAAGGGGGTTTAAGAAAGAACCTGGTGTAAACGAAAGAGGTTGATAAAATGGAGAAAAGCCAGAGTAGAAAACTTTCTATAAATTAATATTACCAAGTAATTATTTTGTTAATGTTCAGATTTTTTGTTTGTTTTGTTTTGGAGAAAGAGGTTTGTTCAAAGGGTTCTTAAGGCAGTCACGTGATTTAAAGATGCTGGAGAATTACTTGTTTTCATCAGTTTTTGTGGGGCCATTTTAATAGAATAGCATTTGAAAGCTATGATTTGATATATTTTTTTTATTAAAATGTCAGCCTCTAAACATTTCAACTGCAAGACATTACATTTCTCTTTCTCTTTCTCGACCCCATCCACCTCACCAGCTTTTGTTTGCCAAGTCAGCCCCTGGACTAATTAGAGTGTCAATGATTCCTTTTACATTTAACTTAAAAGCACTTAAACAGGACTATTTGTAGAGACTAAAGTGGAGGTCAAAACAGCCTATCAGTTTATTTGGAAGGATGCAATCATTGAGGATTTTCTAGAGATATCATCTGTGAAGTAATCTGTATGAAACTGCATTGCTCCTCAGGGATCACTTTACACAAACAAAAATTTCATAAGGTTGAGTGGTGTGAATCAAGGGATCACCAGGCTAGAACCCCTGGAACAAACCTGCTGGCCACCTGTTTTTATAAAGTTTTACTGGGAGATATTGTGCTCAGTCATTGATGTGTGGTCTATGGCTGGATTCCTATTACAACCACAGAACTGAACAGTTGTGACCTGGATTGTTTGAGCCACAAAATCATTTGCTTGCAAATAAAAGAAAATTACTTTCTGGCTGTTTACAGAGGAAGTTTGCTAATGCCTGTGTAGAGAGTTATTAGGTTGCTAAAATAATTAGCCTAAGAAAAGATTGGCAAATTTATTTTTATTCTATATTGGGAGAGTACAGCTGAGAATTATTAACACCTGAGAAAGTAAATGTTTATATGAAGCATTTTGCATTAGCAACTTAAATTGAATCATATCTATGTCATATATCTATTTTTAGAATGTCTGGTTGTGACTATTTCTCACTTTTGTATTTATTTTTGTTTATTTTCAAATATGGCTATGCCACATTTAACCTAGTAATTAAAGAAACCACATATCTTCAAATATTTATGAAAGCATGGCCGTCAGAGCTGTTAAATATATGGGACAAACAATTGTGTGAGCCTGTGAATACACTGGTAGGTACCATCACAGTCCAAAACTACAATATGTAGACATACATCATTGAGCCATTGAAATAAATTTTTGTCCTACCAACTGAAGAAAATGGAGAAATAGAAAATTAACTTGAGAAAGACTACTGAAATGTAGTTATCACAAAATTAAAGGATACGCCATTGAACTAAAGACGGTGATAATTTCTTGCAGGTGCATCAGACAAAAATCAGTTTCTTCATCAATGGTTTGGAGGAGGACAGCACAGCTTTTGATGTGCAAACTCTAAGTGGTTCAATTATAGATTTTGCCTCTGGTGCTACGTGGATAGGACAGAGTTTAAATGGTAAGATTCTGCCTTCAGAAAATTATTTATTTGATTGTATTGTTACTGTGTCAAAAATAATACTTAAAAAATTTCAATACATATACCTAGAAATATGGTTGTAAATATAATTTTTCCAAAATGAAATGATACAAAGGCTTTCTTTGAGCCCTCTAAAAATAAATACTTCCCCTCTATATATTATAGACAACTTTTCATGTTCACATGCCTTCTCATCCTATATAATAAAGAGGTAATATGCAAATTGACCATCACTCCAACACACAAGATGACCGCCCCCATGTGGTCAAAGATGGCCACCCCCATGTGGACACAAGATGGCTGGCAGGGGAGGGCAGTTGGGAGGGACCAGGCCTGCAGGGGAGGGCAGTTGGGCAGAACCAGGCCTGCAGGGGAGGGCAGTTGGGGGGGCAGGCCTGCAGGGTAGGGCAGTTGAAGGGGACCAGGCCTGCAGGGAAGGGCAGTTGGGGGAAACCAGGCCTGCAGGGGAGGGTAGTTGGGGGGGAACCAGGCCTGTAGGGGAGGGTAGTTGGAGGCGACCAGGCTGGCAAGGGAGGGCAGTTAGGGGCAATCGGGCTGGCAGGGGAGGGCAGTTGGGGGTGACCGGGCCAGCAGTGAAGGTCAGTTCGGGGTGACCAGGCCGGCAGGGGAGGGCAGCTAGGGGTAATCGGCCAGTAGGGGAGCAGTTAGGCATCAATCAGGCTGGCAGGGGAGTGGTTAAGGGGTGATCAGGCAGGCAGGCTAGCGGTTGGGAGCCAGCAGTCCTGGATTGTGAGAGGGATGTCCCAGATTGGAGAGGGTGCAGGCTGGGCAGAGGGACCCCCCCCCCCCCCCCCCCGCATGAATTTCATGCACCGGGCCTCTAGTTTAAAATAACTGCAGTGTGTATGATTGTATAGCTACAACAAAAACGTTTTATACTTGTTTCTACTAATGAGCATGTTATTTCTAATATTTTGATATTGGCAGTTATTTGATAGAAAACACTATCTGTATATCTATTGATCTCATATGCACATACACTCACAATGATATGTACACATATACATGCACACACATTTGAGCAGTTGTCTGATAGTGGAGTTCCTTAAGACTTTATACTTTTGGTGTCATCATACCTGAGTTCAAATCCCATCTCCCCACTTACTAGCCACGTGACCTGGGTCACCTTTCTAATGTCTCAAATTTAAAATGATGATTGCCAAAACCGGTTTGGCTCAGTGAATAGAGCGTAGGCCTGTGGACTGAAAGGTCCCGGGTTCGATTCCGGTCAAGGGCATGTACCTAGGTTGCGGGCACATCCCCAGTAGGAGGTGTGCAGGAGGCAGCTGATCGATGTTTCTCTCTCATCGATGTTTCTGACTCTCTATCTCTCTCCTTTCCTCTCTGTAAAAAATCAATAAAAAAATAAAAATAAATAAAAAAATAAAAAAAAATTAAAATGATGTAGTTATTCCAAATTTAAAATGATGATGACGATGATAATGATATTACAGTTTCATTTGAGGATCACATGAGGTATATCATGAAAAGCATGACTATTTTTCGAGCATTTGGCATATAGTAGTTGTTCAATATTTATTGAATAAATGAATAACTATAACTGGGCCTTGTATATACTAAACCATATTGTGATTTAATGCTATTGTTAATATTATTACATTTGTTTTGCTAACGTAAGTCCATAGAAGTTAGGTTGAAGTATATGGTCATTTTATATTTTAATGCATATTAGACAGATTGCCCTAATGCATAACAACAGGCTACTTCCTGTTGCCCATATTTTAAAATATGGGCAAGTACTTTCTTCCTTAAACACTAGCTGACCTTACAAATTACTTGTTTTTTTACCTTTGCCATTTCTCTCATTGAAAAATATTGCCGGATGCCTCTTTAAATTATTTGGCCATTAGTAAGTTTGAGTAGCTTTCCACGTGTCTTTCTCGTTTGCATTTGATTTGTTGTGTGTTTGTATTCATACTCTGGAATTTCTTACTTGTAAAAGCTCATAAATGTTAAGAATGTTATGCTTTGCATGTCTTTTTTCCAGTTTTTAGGTAGCCTGATACGTTTGCATTATAGACATTTAAAAATATTTAAAAATTTTAAGAAGGACGTAAACATGGATGCAACATAACGCATAAATATGAAAGAGCCAGTTTGATGAATTTTTCATCTGTATCAGTAATTAGTATATTGAAGAATTTTATAAAGTACTCTGCATTCAGAATTTCTTAATAACACATTAAATCTTAGGAGCCTTGTTTCAATATTTAATCCCCATTAGTACTTCTGAAAGTGTTTTATTGCTCAAGTATTGCTTAAAGTATTCAATAGCCCCATAAATTTGTCCGCGATGCATGCCGGGGTTGAAATGAGTTGCTCATACTTCAGTGTCCTAACTGTGGGAGCCATGCTTCAAAAGGGTGGTGCGGAGCCAGTGTGCTAGTCACTTCCAAACTGTGTGAAAGTAAATTTAACTTCTGATTAGAAAATACATCATTGGAAAAGGGTTTGTTTCAAATGTTACCTAGTTCTTACTATGGCTTTCTCCTTAAGTTCCAGGCATCACAGAACTGAAGGAGAAAAGAACATTTAAAAATAAATTTTCTCTTTATTCCATCAATTTATAGGTACAGTTATACCTACTGTATCTTTTCTCTAATTAGAGATGGCACATAGCTGGCTCATTACTTCTGCCTAATGAGCCAGGCCTACGCCACCTCTCTAATCAGAAAGGAGGTGGGTGCAGAATGTTCCCCTGAACTTACTATAAGTCATTTTCTTTCTCCCGCTCGCTCCTTTCCTTTAAATAAAAAAGTGAAGTCACTGTCCTCCATACTCTTGTCCATGCCCAAGACGGTTTCATTCAGGGGAGGTCAGCGTGGCTGCGAGCTGCATTAGAGGTGCCGCTGTGCAGGCCAGGCTGGCTGTCTGTGCTTCGGGGCAGATGCGGACAAACACCAGGATCTCCACGGAGGGCCTGGAGGGGACCACGGGCCAGGCTTCCGTGTTTCCCCATGTCTGCACCCGGTCTTCACAAGTGTGTTGGCTGCTACAGACTTTTTTTTCAAGTCTCATCACTACCTGGCATAACTTTCTAGAAAAATATGTTGCCAGTGACAGTCCCTGTTACTGCTGGCCTTATCTTTCCACAGAGCCTTGTATACATATTCATGGACTATGTAGACATATACTGTGTGTCTACATATAAGGTACACGCATATGTATACTAATACATACATAAATCATAGTGCATGCATACATGCATAACATAATGATAATGCATACATAACAATGTATATGAAATACATGCATATAATACCAATGGGAAAATCTTACTTGGTCAGGCAGGTTTTTAAATACACAAATAGAACACCTTAGACCATATCAAGCAACACGTGTCAGTTCATTTGGAGAGCATTTTCTTCCAGCTCTCCCAAGAGCAGCCTCGGACCATCTGGTGAGCTAGGCTTACTCTGCATCTCTTATTCATCAGGATGCCCTCGCTCTGCCCCACTTTCCTCCCAGGCACCACAAGGAGCTGCAGCACCGAGTGCTCCCACGTTCTCTATTATTAAGACAAATTAAAAAAGGGAATAATTAAGAAACAAACACATTTGAGGAAGTGCTCCTTTGGTGAATTGGTCGTTGGTCTAAATTTAATACTTGAAAAACCCCACTTAATTATTGATTTGGCATTATTCATTACATCCCATCCCATCTTGTGTCCTCATGATTCAAACTCTAGCTAGAATTTTGCCATTTTTAAGTTTTTCTCATTATTAACAACATAATGAAAACCATAGACGTGGTAGTTGTTTTACTTTTTTTCTCTTCCCAGTTTCTTGGACTTACCTGTTGGTAAATCTTAAATAAATATTTGCTAAATGAATTAATGAGATGTTATGTGGTTTAAGGTTGATATCTACCTCCACCTTGGAAGGTTACCTAATTGAATGCAGCTTGGACTTGGAACCTGGTGTCTTAGAAGAATTGTTACAAGGTGGTGGCATTTTGAGACTGTGATAGGATGCCATTGACATGTGAATAATTCAAACTCATGAGTAGGAGGTTTCTAGTTTATCCTCATTCATTTGGGGGTTTCCTAGACCAGGTGTTAATATACATTGGGAGGGGACCCGAGCTGATGCTCTGGAGCTTGGAGATCACTCAGGTGGGGTGAGAAAGTGGGCAGTCTCCTTGCCACTGCAGATGCTCTGAAAATTGCACTTGGGAGCAGATGACAATCAGATTTAGGGCTGATGAGCTGATAGATTTACAGGTTTATAAACTGGAGGGAAGTTTGACTTGGGGAGGGGACTTCTGGAGAGAGGTCACAAGTTGGGCCAGGAGATAGATTGGCCCAAGTATTCACTTTGCCTGAGTCTTATAATGCCTATGGAGATAGCTATGAATGTTAATGTTATTCACGTGGAATTAGCACAATATACATATTGATCTCTTAAGTGTTTGAAAAGACCGTGATACGTATATGATTAAAAGTTGTGTTGCTTTAAAGGAATGTCACTTGAATATTTGTCAGCCACTGCTTGGTAACATCAGACTTCTCATACTATGTACATGATTGTATTTTGTAGGTTTAGAGCAGTTTGTTGGAAGAATGCAAGATTTTCGATTATACCAAGTGGCACTTACAAACAGGTAAGCAGACATGGTATGGTAAAGCTCCAGAAATATATATATAAAAGCCTAAGTGACCAGCCAACTGGCCGGTAGCTGTAATGCTCAATGACTACCAGGGGTCAGACGCTCAATGCACAGACACAGAATTCGTGCACTGGTGGAGTCCCTCAGCCTGGCCTGTGGGGATGGGGCCGAAACCAGCTCTCCAACATCCCCCAAGGAGTCCTAGATTGTGAGGGGACACATGCCAGACGAGGGACCCCATCGGTGCACAAATCCATGCACCGGGCCTCTAGTATAAACATAAATGCTGAATTCACTTAAGTAAGCGTAGCACGAAGATTAATGTTAGGGTGGAGGAGGGCATAGAGGGGATAAATGGTGATGGAAAAATAAAATAAAAAATACATTTCTGAAGAGCAGTCTTGTAGTAATTTGGCGGGAATAAAGTTTGTCCTGGGGGCAAAAATGTCCTTGAATAGTCACTTCTGGTCCCACTTAAAACCTGGTATCAACTGGAAGATGTCAATGAGATCGAACGAAATGACTTCATGCGATTTAGTGAGTGGAATAGCTGCCTGCCTCTGCCACTCCCCCACCAGGGTTGAGAGAAGGAGTCTGTCTCTCCTTAGACCTGGTTGCTGGCATTGGCCTACCTCAAATGTAGGAACGGTGTCATGTGGAAGAATGCCCACACACAGAGTGACGAATTCCGTTCTAGAACAGGTATTCTGCCCTTAATGGAAAAGTTAAGTCTGTCTGCCTGGAATTGGCTTTCTTCTTGAGCTCTTGGCAGCTGCCATATGAACTGAAGCCATCGAAGCGTTTTAGGTGCCAGGGTTGGTACCGATGAGTCACAGGAAGCCGTTGACAAATGGTCTTGGCCGGAGGCCCTTCCCCTGAAACAGCAGCAGATGAAGTGATGCTGTTTTCTTACTTCCCGTGGATGAGCTGGAGACGCATCTATAACTCATTACTTTCAATATATCAATGGTCACTCAGTGGTCAGTTTAACAACCTAAGTGAATATTACCTTTCTTTTTATTACAAATAGGCACTGTAAAATATTATGCGATTCAAAGAAACATATTGTAAATAGGCACCATAAAATATTATGCTATTTTAAAACATATCTTGCTAATCAGACAAGGGATTGTGCATGCTTCATGATAGAAAATGCTAGTCCTTAAGAATGTAATGTTTTTATAATAAAATTAGCATGTTTCATTTTATGAGAATGAGTATATTTATGGGACCAGGAATGAATTTGGTTTTATGTTCTGTGTAAAAAAATATGAAAGCTAAATAGATACTAATGAAAACATCAACATAGTGGTATTCGTTTGTAACATCCCTTAGAACAGTGGTCACCAACCTTTCGGCCCTTACGGACCTCCAGGGGTCCACGGACCACCGGTTGGCGACTGCTGCCTTAGACTATCTATGGCTGTTGAGCTATTTGTCCTCACCGTCTGCCTCTTGACCTCACAGAGAGATTGAGGCCATCTCTGCTGGAGCTCTGCCCACCTTGCACGTCCAGCCCCACTGCCGCTGCCCGGAGAGCCACCCGCGGGTCCATCCCCTGCGCCAGCGGTTCTGCATTCCCAACGATGTGGAGGACACGACTAGGGACAGGGTGTCCCGGCTGCATCCCGAGGCCCACCCTCTCTCTTTTGTCAATGATGACGACATTGAGACTTCCTGGGTCTCACATGTGTTTACAAACATCACCCAGCTTAATGAAGGAGTGACTATTTCAATAGATTTGGAAAATGGACAGTATCAGGTAACTTGAAGCAATTTGGTGTGTATTCATTGCCTGTGGGTATTGCAATAAATGACCACTAATTTAATGGCTTGACACAACTGACATTTATTCTCTCAGAGCTCTGAAGATCAGAAGGATGAAATCAGCCCTCTGGGTAAGGGCGGATCCTTCCCTCCTCTCCCAGCTCCTGGCGGCTCCTGGTGTCACTTGGTTTACCTCAGCATCACTCCAGGCTCTGCCACCAGGTTCAGGGTCGCCGTCTTGTTGCTGACTGTCAGTTCTCCCTCCTCTTTCTCTTTTGAGGACCACCCTGCATCCAGAAGGATCTCCTATTGAGACTCCTAACTTAATTACATTTTCAAAGACCCTATTTTCAAATAAGGTCACATTCACAGCCACCAGGAGTTAGAATTTGAACATCTATTTAGGGGCAGAATTCAACGTACCACAAGGTAAAACCTGAATTAGGCAATTGAACATTACCTCAGTAAAGAAGTATATTATAATTTATGAAGTGAAAATACCTAAAAAAGATATGCAGGGCATGAATTTTTAGAGATTGTTATAAAAAAATCATATGAAATAGTGAAACATTCATTTTGTTAAGTAACCAAATTAATAAAAACAGGTGCTTATTTTTAATAACTACTTAAAAAGAACATATACCAATTATTTCATGGAAGTAATATTTTTTTTTCATGTCTTTATAGCAAACTTCATATTGATTTCCACTTAAATTTGTAAAATCCTTGAGAAGATGCACAGCTATGTAATGATAGGTTGTGTTGCTTTTACTACAGGGCTGTGGCATTTCTGAATGTCTATGAGTGCTTATAGTTATTATGAGGAAGTAAACATTATATTTGAATGCACCAGTTCCATGGTTTGATTTATACTGATGGGTTAAAACGTAAAACAACAATGGTAATAATTAACTTACTCATTTCCAGGTGTTTTATATCATCGTTCAGTTCTTGAGTCCACAACCAACAGCAATAAGGATTCAGAGGAAGAAGGAAGACAGCCTAGATTGGGAAGATTGGCAGTATTTTGCTAGAAATTGCAGTGTTTTCGGAATGAAAAACAATGGAAATTTGGAAAATTCAGATTCGGTCAACTGTCTTCAGCTTTCAGAGTATGAATATTTTTGAAACCATTGTCTGTGAAGGCATTTAGGAGTTAATTCTCATAGACTATGGGATAGTAATAGCCTACAGGTAAACTTAAGTCACTAGGCTAGTAGAGTCTTTCCCTTACCACCATCCCTTGAGGCAAATTGGTCTAGGATTCCTTCCTATTTTGGATTTTAAATTATGTTTAAATTTACTTGTAAAGATGTTAGAGTATTTCTTGCTTCCAGTCTCATCTGTGCTTTATAATCTGACTTTCAGATTGCTTAGCAAGTTATCTGTATCAATAGAATTTTTATGATGTCCTCAAGGAAATGTTTTACTATGATGATCCTATATGCACATGAAATCTGTGGACTATTTTTCCCAGAATGAAGAATTTGAGCTGTTACGGAATATGGTGTTCTGATTTGTTTTGTCAAAAATATGAGTAACTTCTCATGATTGCAAATATCTTTCCTCAACAGTTTTACTCCATATTCCCGTGGCAATGTCACATTTAGTCTCCTAGCACCTGGACCAAATCACCGTCCTGGATACAATGACTTCTATAACACCCAGTCTCTTCAAGAGTTTGTAAAAGCCACCCAAGTAAGACTTCATTTTCATGGACAGTACTATACAACTGAGCCTCCCGCCAGCCTCAGACACAGATACTACGCGGTCAGTGAAGTCACCATCACGGGCAGGTAGGGTTTCACAGCAGTGTGCTATTTACTATGAATTTTGCTTTCCAGATTGTTTTCAAGACTTATTTAAAACTATGTTAGTTAAGATTTTAGAGCAAGCCAGATTCCAAGCTTCAGGTATTAAAATGCTTTCCTACTCGATAAGATTTTTGTGGGAGGTTTGTATGTGAGTCTTTCTGTCTAAAAGATCACATTTCTATAGAATCAATTTTCAAAATATTGGGTTTAGAAGTTATGATAACCTGGATCTGACTAAAAAAAAATAAAGTCAAATATTTTGATTGGTGTGTTCTGGATTGTAATTTTCAAGTGTTCTAGAAATGAAACAGAAGGAGTTTGATTTTGAGTTATAATGGTGCTACCAGTTAATTTGTAAATACTGGGCTTGGTCTCCCTGGGTTCACAATTCATAACTTTATGAAGAATATTTGTTTTCCTTTAAAGGAATAATCTAATATGCCTTAAGTAATTTATAACTGTCTGACCATAGTTGAAAACTAGACTCACAATGTTTAAATGAATTGATGAAGAGCTCCCCGGCAGCGTACTCTCTAGTCTGGAAATGGTAAACATATAGACTACATTCAGAATTGGGTTGTGCTAGAAGGACATTGTATCCTGTAAAGAAAGTACATCTTTTAAACCAATGCAGAATACCAGTCTATAAGCTTTATTTGCTAAGTAATAGCATGATTTAAAAAATACTATTAAATAATCAATTTTTGGAAAGATAAACAAAAATAAAGTTTGTTAACTTCTACCTGCAGTTCATTCTAAACCTGCTAGTCTTAACTATAAGTTTTGAATAGTTTTATTAAATGTCTTCTCTCTGGGCAAGTTTGCCACATGGTGTTTATAGGTGTACACAACCCAGGTAGGCTTGAAAATTACCTTCACCATCACTGTGGTTTGGATATTCATGAAACTTCCTTCAATACTTCATGATTAATTTAAAACTTTCCATGAGCCCTGGCCGGTGTGGCCCGGTTGGTTGGAAGGATGTCCAGTGTACCAAAAGGCTACTCTTTCCAATCCTGGTCAGGCCACATGCTCCACCCCTCTTCCCAGTAGTGGGCATGTAGGAGGCAACCTTCTGCTCTCACATTGATGTATGTGTCTCTTTCTCTTTCTCCCTCCCTCCCTCCCTCCCTTTCTCTCTCTCTCCACTCCTCTTTCTCTAAAAATTAATGAAAATATATTTTTTTAAATAAAAGTTTCCATGAATATCCACATGACTAAAGAGAGGTTGGTTTTTGTGTTAACACTCTCACCTCCTTGTTGAATTCACACAGTGGCTATATACCCAGGTCCTTAGACGTATTAGCAGTTGAGCTGCTGTTTCCTAGGAGCTGTCTGATGGATGCTCCTGTTCGCAGGTGTCAGTGTCACGGTCACGCTGACAGCTGTGACACGACGAGCCAGCCCTATCAGTGCCTCTGCTCCCGGGAAAGCTTCACCAGGGGACTTCAGGTGAGTGCTATTTCATGCATGGAAACCCCCAAAGGAGGAGGGGGGAGCTTGAGAAGTAGCGAATATAAATTCTTCAAACTTACTAGTACTTTTGGCCTATCTTCTGGGTATGAATAAAAATATGTGATAAGAATCTAAAAAAGTCAATTATTTCAGAAAAAAATTAAAGAAAAAAAATAAAACCCCTCAATAATGTTGAAATTTTCTTTTTAAAAAATAAACCCTGAGAAATAACGAATAAAACTAAACCCAGAGGGGTTTCTTAATTTTCCTTGTTTCATCAGCATTATCCTAATTCATAAAACAACTATGAAAAAAAGTGTCTAGGTTTCTCAAAAAATTAAAAATAGAACTACCATATGACTCAGCAAATTCAGTTCTGGATATTTATCTGAAGACGGACAAAACACTGTTTTGAAAAGATAAGTGCACCCCTGTGTCTATTGCAGCATTGTTTGCAATAGCCAAGATAGGGACATGACCTAAGTGTCCTTTGGTAGATGAGTGAATAAAGCAGTGGTTGCCATTTGTGACAACATGGATAGACCTAGAGGGTATTATGCTAAGGGAAATAAATCAGACAGAGATAGACAGATATTATATGATTTCACTTCTATTTGAAATCTAAAAAACAAGATAAATGAGCAAACCTAACAGAAACAAACTCATAGATACAGAGAATAAATTGATGGTTGCCAGATTGGAAGGGAGTTGGGAGGAATGGGTAAAAAAGAAGGGATTAAAAGTACAAATTGCCAGTTATAAAAATAGTCACGGTATAAAGTAATAAGCATAGGGAATATCAATAAAATAGTAATAACTATGCATAGTGTCAATGAGTACTAGATTTATTGGGATGATCGCTTCCTAAGTTATATGTCTAAATAATATTGTATGCTAACTGTAATTTAAAATGAAATTTAAAACTGGCTCGTAGTTTTATAAGATACTTTGTTTTCTGAGCTTCTCCTGTTTTATTTTGACTAGTTAGTTCCCACCCACCTCCAAACCCCACTCTCCTCTCTCTCCCTCTTGGTGCCCCATCCATGTTTCCTCTTTTCTCTCTCTTGAATTTCTCACATTGAAGTGATTAATATTTTATGATTCTTGGGTGATTTCATGCTTCCCCTTAAAAATAGAGCCGTTAAATGAATCCCAACTCGGGATTGGTTACAGAAGTCACGTTGGGACTTTCACACTTGGTCTCAGGTGGTGACTGTTAGATTATGAACTAGTGCAATAATTAACCATAATTTAGGTGGGGAATACATTTTAATGCTTCTTATTTAGACATAAAGTGCCTTTTGAAAACAAAAAGTTGACTTTTTTGTTATTTTCCTGTTTGACACCTTTTGATAATTTATGAATTTAGCCATAAATATAAAAGCAACAAATAGCTTCCACTTTAGCAAAATTTGGCAAATGCAGCTGAAGGGAAAAAGTCAATAGACTGTTACGTTGAGTGATTTCTCAGTCCTATATTTTCAACAAGGTGTTGAAAATGAAAAATGATTTTATAAAACATTCATAAGCATGGCATTCTCTTTTTGTTATCATTCAAAGTATTTTAATACATGTGGGACTCAATGTATCTGAAAAAGTTGTCTTGCAATAGTTTGAAAATATACTTACTCAAGTGCTTTACACATTGTCCTTCCTTTTAAAATAATGTTTTAAGATAAGCCATTCATTTCCTATTGGAACCAATGTTCTTTTTAAAGATCTGGACATAATCCAAAAAGAATGTCTTCAATTTCACAGTATTATGCTAACCATTAATAATATTACTCAATAAACAGGGCTTTTGTGAATTACATTACAGCCATTTGGCAAACAGACGAACACGTAAGCCTTGAGAATATGCCAGTTCTCGGCAATTGTCAGGCCTGTGAGAAAGTGATTTTAGCAGGAGTGAAAATGAATGAAGTTGGGAGAAAGGAGTGGAATGATGAATTCAGGAGCAAGTTCATGTACGGAGCCATTCTAGGGAATTTTCTGTATGAAGCATTCTTCAGTTGTTCCTAAAGGTTATGTCACAAATCGGTGGTCCACAGGGTTTTTTTGTTTTAATTTTGAAGACGAGGTCTCTGGTACATTGGCTTCTAAATCTCTCCACTCTACCTTCCTAGCTCTTTTTTAGATCATTTCCTAACTAGTTGTGCCAGCAGCTTTGTTGCAATACAGTACCTCTGGTCCACCTGCTCAGAAAGTCCATCATCACTTTCCAAAAGCATGTGTGAAGTTCATAGATACAGACCACAGCCTAGGAAGTGGAAGCTTGGGTGTGTGTCGTATATGTCAACTAACATGGTTGTGTAGCTACAATAGGCCTTTTCTATTTTTTTTTTGTTTTTTTTGTTTATCCTCACCCAAGGATTTTTTTTTTCATTTATTTTCAGAGAGAGTGGAAGGGAGAGGGAGAGACAGAGAGAAACATCGATGTGAGAAAAGACACACATTGACTGGTTGCTTCCCACATGCATCCCAACCAGGGCTGGATTCAAGCCGGAAACTCAGGTGTGTGCCCCTGACCGGTATCAAACCCAGGACCCTTCAGCCCATGGGCCGATACGCTATCCACTGAGCAAACTGGCTGAGGCTAGGCCTACTCTTTTCACTAATACTTTATTGATCTGTTCTAAGAGTTCCAGTGTTGATAGACTCTAGCTTTAAGAAAAGTGTTACATGCCCTAACCGGTTTGGCTCAGTAGATAGAGCGTCAGCCTGCGGACTCAAGGGTCCTGGGTTCGATTCCGGTCAAGGGCATGTACCTTGGTTGCGGGCACATCCCCAGTAGGGAGTGTGCAGGAGGCAGCTGATCGATGTTTCTCTCTCATCAATGTTTCTAACTCTCTAGCCTTCTTCCTTCCTCTCTGTAAAAAAATCAATAAAAAAAGAAAAGTATTACAAGTTGAAACTTGCATCCTTAGGATTTTCATTTTATTTTAATAGCTGCGTTCACCTTTCTGAGGCTCTAGGCCAGGAGTGACGCAATGACCGGTACTTCCGCCAAGCACTGGCACTTTGTTGGCTACTTAGCTATTCTTTCATCATTTTGTGACATCATTACCTGCAAGGGTGGCCAAGCGTTCACAGAGCAATTCATTAGGAACCATGAATACTCCTCTTATTCTTTGGCTCTGATTTGTGACCCTCTTATAACATTGATCATGGCTTTTATGAATTAACTACAATCAAACTATCAATATGAATCTCAGTATTATAAATAGCAGAGCCAACTTAAAACATTTTATATAATAAGCCTTCCTTCCATTCAGTAATTTGATGGTGAAACATCACACTCTATAATGCTTATTATGCAAATGAATATTTCCTGTTATTTTAAAAAGTATGTTCCTTTAGATTACAAAAGTCTGAAAATATGAGTCATCATGACTAACTTGTGTCATATTTTTACTACACATCAAACCCCACCGCTTGATGTTTTCTCTTTGCTCACAGAAAGATTATACTCTCAATATATTTCATTTTGTGTTATAATTTTTGTAATACCGATGAATTCATTTTTATTAACTATCATTCAAGCAGTTCATATTATAGATTCTACATTAGTTGTACATTTAGTGAGTCAAGGTCAAGCATTTCATTTACTCTCTGACACATGGTGATATTTTTAATCTTTGAAAAACACTTGCACTAGTAATTTCCCTGAGATAGATATGTGCATAAATGCATTTAAAATGTAAGTTAAAAATAAAGGTTAAGAGCATGGGGTATATTGAGACAGATTCATAGAAGTAGCAAATATAGATGATGAAAACAGAAAAAAAAAGAAAAATGAATTTGAAGGGATAAGGGTAAAGGAATTTCCAAAGTTGAGGAATGGCATGGTTCTTGGAATTCTAAGTAGACTGAGAAAAAATAAACACATACATAGGTAAGATATAATAATTCTGCTGGTCACCAAAGACCAAGAGTAGATCCTAACAATAGCCAGAGAGAAAAAGTCAAATGATTTATAGACACAAATGTTTAAGAAATTGTGTTATTAGATTTCTCAAGTTACAACGGAAGGCAGAAGACAGTGAAATATTACCTTTGAAGTGCAGAAAGAAATAACCAACACCTCTAGAATATTTTATTTGTAGCTAGACTATCAGTAAAAGCATATAATTCCTAGGAATAAATTTAACCAAAGAGGTGAAATGCCTGTACTCAGAAACCTATAAGACATTAAAGAAAGACATTGAAAAGGATACAGATAGAAGGATATACCATCCTTGTGTGTTGGAAGGATTAACACTGTTAAAATATTCTCACTACCTAAAGCAATATACAGATTCAATGCAATCTCTATTAAATACCAGTGACATTCTTCTCAGAACAAGGACACTTACTCCTAAAATTATTATGACCCTCCATCTACCAAAAAACCCAGTAGTCAAAGAGAAAGAACAAAGTGGGAGGTATCACACTTCCATATTTCAGAGTAAACTACAAAGCTACAGTATTCAAAATAGTCTGGTATTGGCATAAAAATAGATACATGTAGATCAATGGAATAAAATGGAGAGCCCTCAATTATATGGTCAATTAATCTATGATAATAAAGGCAAAGATATACAATGGGATAAAGAAGAGTCTGAAATAATGGTGTTGGGAAAACTGGACAGATGAATGCGAAACTAGGAAAAAAAGAAGAAATTGGACCACTGTCTTTCCCCACATACAAAAACAAACTAAAAATGGGTTAAGGACTTACATGTAAGACCTGATACCATGAAACTTCTATAAGAAAACATAGGCAGTAGACACTTGACATCCGTCAGAGAAATGCAAATCAAAACTATTATGAGATATCACTTCACACCTGTCAGAGTAGCTATCATCAAAAAATCAAATAGCAAATGCTGATAAGGATGTGGAGAAAAGGGAATTTTCACACACTGTTGGTAAGATTGTAAATTGGTTCAGCCACTATGGAAAACAGTATAGAGATTCCTCAAAAACTTTAAAATAAAGCTGTCATAAGACATAGA